TGGTGGTTTGCTTTTGTTTAAGATACAACATCCTTTGATATGTGCATGCGTTCATATACATACATGTATGTATATGTATTCATACATATATGCATGAGAGCTTGATGGTCGTAGTATAGGATCTTAGGTGGTTCTCTATACATGTGTATATGTATGAATATGTGGTGCAGCCTATGTGGTTCAACTTGTGTCGTGCAATACATGTGGTGCCGCACCACCGATGTGCAATTCACCCTGCCGAGCATGAAGTTGTCAATTCCAGTGCTCGCGCAACCGTTCCACCCACCCATCCACCCACCAGCAACTTGTTTTGCGAAACCCATGCGGCGGCGATTGCGATGGTTGCTTGGCGTTGGCTGGGGCATCGTCGCGGCCGCGGTGCCGCGCGCAGGTTCGCGCGCAGAGGGGCCAAGTAGTCTGACGCGGCCGACGCGGCCGCGGTGGCGCTGACCGCTGGGCACTTCCCACCGCGTCTCGCAAGTCACGGTGACGCACGGGCACTTCACTGCGAGTCGGTGGCTCGGGCGAGCGCGGTATCATGGCGACGTCGACAAAAGGCGCACACAGGGTGATGATGAGGCCCGCGATTAAACCGCTTTGCATTTGATAATGGTGAACAAGTTAAGGTTCTTCAAATAATCGCAAGAGCGCGCGGACCGTTCTTGAAAATTTACGTTGCTGATTTGATGTTTTCGGGACACTCGATTTCAAGCCCATACGGAATGTCTTTTTGACAGGGGTCGCCCCCCCGTTGCATGCGCGCAAGGACGTTCGACTGATTTCGACACGCGCGCACGATAGGCCCGTCAGGTCGCACTCGATGTAAATAACGAAACACCGGTGATTTTTTAATGTGAATTACAACGTGCGCGCAGAGTCTCTATAAACAGTCGTGGTGCAACGCCGTGTATGTTTTGTATAAGTTTCCGGGACATTCGGTTTTGGAATCTTCAGGGCATTTATATTTTTTCGGGTGTCGGCATGGGCGCGCGACGAGCGCGTGTGCACGTCGTCTTTGTTTTGGCACTGAATCAATGGAAACTTATGGCTTTTGATGAACGAGTGTGCGCGCATAGTGTTTTTTGTAGACTCTGGTGGGGGAGGGTCGATTTGGGCTTGGTTGGGGTGGTATGAGTTCAGATTTACAGTGAATCGTTGGGCACGATCATATGTAAGTTGCACATCCCCGGGGGGATCGATAAGTCCAGAAAAGCGGGGGGGGAAGGTGGTAGATCCTGATTTTTGCCATTTATGCGGCGCAGTACAAGATCAGCAGTATGTCGTGCAGTCAATGTGGCGCGATAAGGTTGTGCAATCAGTGTGATGCGATATCTGTTGTGCAATATGTGTGGTGCGAGCTATCTTGTGCAAGATATGTGGTTCAATATGTTCTGGTGTGATCTGATGGTTCAATATATGTGGTGCACTATATGGCGCAGTGCGTGCGGTGAAGTCTTTATTGTGCAGTTTATGCTGTGCATTCTATGTTGTGCAGTCTATGTTGTGCAATCAACGTGGTGCAACCTATGCGGTGCAACCTAGGTTGCGCAATCTGTGCGGTGCAATCTATTCCTGTTCGCAGTGAGTTGTCAACCCCACTGCTCGCGCAATCATCCCACCCACCCACCCGCAACTTGGTTTGCAAAATCCATGCGGCGGCGATTGCGAAGAGGATGAGTGCTTGGTGTTGGCTGGTGCACCCTCCTCCTCCTCCTCCTCCTCCTCTCCTCCTCCTCCTCCTCCTCCTCCTCCTCCTCCTCCTCCTCTCTCCTTCTCCTCCTCCTCCTCCTCCTCCTCCTTCTCCTCCTCCTCCTCCTCCCCGCAGCAGTCATAGCCGAGACGCCGAGGGGAGGCAAAGCGTCTGGCTCCGGAGGGGCTCTGGCTTTCGGGCCGCGCCGGGAGCCCAGGCCGGGGAGCACAGCGCTCGGGGCCGAGGCCCGCCCCGCGGCCAGGGAAGCCCCGTCGGCTCCCTCTCCGGCGCTCCTCTGCGGCAGCGCGGTGGCCGTGCAGCAGCTGGGCTTAAAGGTCGGGCTTGGCCTTCTACAGGGGGAATCTTCAAACATAGTAACAAGAATAGTCAGGGGACGATTTATCCCATCATTTTCCTAATATGTTCGAGTTCTTTTTGACAACTCTTTCTTCTTTTCTTCTTCTTCTTCTTCTTCTTCCTCCTCTTCCTCTTCTTCTTCCAAAATCCGCCTGTAGGGGGACATGCCCGACCTAAAACTGGGCCCGTCCCTGAAGACACCCGCCTGCCGTCGGGTGCCCAACAACGGGCGGGCCCTCGTCTCCCGACGGCCCCAGGGACTCCCGTGGAGTCCCGGGGCGCCTTGGGAAGCTCCAAGGATCAGCGTCCGTTTTTTTCGCTGGTCGATCGCGGCGACTGGGGACAAAACAGCGCGGCCGGCCAAGAAGGGCAGGCCGACTCGGCGAGCTGCACCCAGGCAGCGGGAGGGGGAGGGGGGAGCAGGGGTGGTCCTAAACAGTGTTTTGGCGATTTTTCGTGGGCCCTTCTCGTTTCGAGGTCGTGTTGCAGCACAGGCGAATTCGAGACACAAGCGAGGGTCTGCACGAACGAAATGGGCACGGAAAGAATGGGTACAATGCTCAACAGAAGTTCCTGTTCATTTGAACAGGACTCGCTCTCCGCGCCGCCGCGGCCTGTGTCCATTCGAGGCAGGAGGCCGCCTGCCCAATAGCGGCCGCTGTTGGTTTGGGACAACACTTGTTGTTGGGCATCGTACCCATTCTTTCCGTACCCATTTCGGGCGTCCAAGGAGGGACAGCGAACGCAGAACGAAAACGAAAAACGCCGTTCAGGTTCGGCCCCCGGGGGGGAGTTGGCCGCGGCGGGGGGGGCGAGGAGGGAGGCCCGCTCTTCGACGGGAGGTAGCCGTCCCCCGGGCGGTGCCCCGCGCGGCCTCGGGCCCCCGAGGAGGGGGCCGTGCGGAGCGGCGGTGCAGAGCTCGGGCACGGGCGGGCCCCACAGTGCTCGTCGTGTGCAGCCGCGACCATGCTCAAAAGCAGTGGCGAGGCGCCCTGGCTCACCTATAGCCCTAGCAAACCATGTTCGGAGAACTTTTCGTGGTTCCCACGAAATGTTCTTAGAACACTTCTGGCCGGGACTGTCTTGTCAAATCACATCGGGTTAATGTTCCAAGAACGTTGTTTTTGTTCTTAGAACATTCTTGGGTTCTAAGAACATTTCGTGGCAGGACTATAGAAATGCCGGGTCGGTCGGTCCCTGCTCAACATACGGTTGGGGCGCTGAAGAAGGAGCCCTTTTCGTTGGGGAGGGGCTCGGCGTTCCTCGATTGTTTTTGCAGTTTGCCTTGGGGTTTCCCGAGGGTTTCCATGGGGAATCGAAGATCAACTTTTGGGAAAAAGGGGTCGTGCGGAGCGGCGGTGCAAGGCTCGGACGCAGGCGGCCCAACCATTCTTTCCGTGTGCAGTTGCTACCTTACGGATGGGGCGCTGAAGAAGGAGCCCTTTCCGTCGGGGAGGGGCTCGGTGTTCCTCGATTGTTTTGTTTACTGCCTTGGGGTTTCCCAAGGTTTTCTATGTGAAATATAAAATTTTAGCTTATGGGGCAAAGGGGCCTCGTTCCTTATTTAGGGTTCCTTAGATCAACGCCCCGACTGTACGGTTGAAGAAACAAACTTTGCATCACCAGCGCTCCGACGACAAAGAACAGCATTCCCCCCCCCTCCCTCTGGCCTTAGTATTGGAATGCATTGCGATCGAGACTTCGGGCTCACGTTTTTTCTGGCCGCTCATCTCCGGGACCAACTGCTCAATATGAAGGCTGGGGGGGTGCCGGGTTGGTGTATTCGATGTGGTCCCCCAATTCTTGATGCACAGTTTTTTTCTTTCAATGGTATAAATGGGTCCTGAGGGAAGCGGGTCCTGAGTTTTTTCGCCGTTTTCGGGCTTTTGGGGCCTTCCACGGGCCCTGGGACTGTCAGAAAACGGTTCAGGATGGAGATCTCGTCCTGGGGGAAAGGCCCCAGGGTCCAGGACCCGTTTCCCTCAGGACCCGTTCCCCCATGCTAAAGTTGGTCTGAAGGCGGGACACATTATAGATTTAAAGCTTTCGGATGTCCGCGCGGATTTCTCGGATCGGCGCTGCTTCCCCTTCCGTTGGCGCACGGAGAACGCCAGGGGGTGTCCAGCGCTGATCCTGGACATGAAATACGCGGTTCTGCTTTTGCAGCCGTTCTTTTTGAAGGGCTTTCGCCCTCTGGCGTCGGCCGTGTCGCCAGGGCCGCCGCCGCGACACGCTGAGCAACAGACACCTCACCGTGTCCCCAGCCGAGGTTACCTTCGCCATGCTCTCGTCTTAGGGGGTGGGCGAGAGGCCCGCGGCGGGCCGATAATTAGCCCGAAAAGGCGACGGGACCGATCAGAGGTCCCAGCCCGCGCTCACCTCGGCCAAGGCGTCCTTGTCGCCGTCGCCGTTGCTCGTCGCTCGCCGCCGCCGCCGCCGCCGTCGTCGTCGTCGTCGTCGTGGTCGTGGTCGTCGTCGTCGTGGTCGTCGTCGTCGTCGTCGTCGTCGTCGTCGTCGTCGTCGTCGTGGTCGTCGTCGTCGTCGTCGTCGTCGTCGTCGCCGTCGCCGTCGCTCGTTGCGCGCCGCCGCCGCCGCCGCGGCCGCAGCCGCCGCCGTCGTCGTCGCCGCCGCCGCCGCCGTCGTCGTCGTCGTCGTCGTCGTCGTCGTCGTCGTCGTCGTCGTCGTCGTCCTCGTCGTCGTCGTCGTCGTCGTCGTCTTCGCCGTCGTCGTGGTCGTGGCCGTCGTCGTCGTCGTCGTCGTCGTCGTCGTCGTCGTCGTGGTCGTCGTCATTCGACGTCGTTCGACGTCGTTCGCCTTTCGCCGCCGTCGTTCGCCGCTGTCGTCGTCGCCACCGCCGCCACCACCGCTGTCATCGCCGTCGCCGTCGTCGTCGTCGTCGTCGTCGTCATCTTCGTCGTTCGCCGCCGTTCGCCGCCGCTCGTCGTCCGCCGTTCGTCCTTCGTCGCGATGGTCGATCGGCTGCGGCGGCCGACCAAGCGACCACGCGCCGCCAGGGCGCGCGCTTGAAGCACGAGTCGCTTCTGCTGGCCGGGGCGCCGGGCGGCAGGGAGGGCTGCTCCTAGGGGAGATGCCTGGCGGCCATCGCCGGCGGTAGCCCCCCACGAGAGGCGTCAGATCTGAGGCGGGGTTTTGTCCATAACCTGTCGGAGGACCGCGCCGCATCGCCGAGGCAACGGTGATGCGGCTCGATGAGAAGCCCGATTTTCTTCACGCCGACCGCGCCAATGCATCGCCTACGCATCGACCATGCAACGGCGATGCGGCGCGATCCTCCGACCCCATCTACTCGGACCCCATCCAGGAGGCCTCTACATAAGCGTTGCCCGTGGGGGCGATCTTCGGGGAGCCTCTTGGGGGCCTCTCGGGGCCTCTTCTGGGGTTCTTGGGGGCTTGGTGGATGAGGAGGAGGAAGAAGAGGAAGAGGAGGAGGAGGAGGAGGAGGATTAGGAGGAGGAATAATATTATCACTGCGAATGATAATTATAAGCTGAATACGGATAATGAAGAAGTAGGGCAAGTAAGAATAAACACCATACTAAGAAGAAGAGTAATACGAATAACGATAATAATAACACGAATCGTATACACCATAAAAACAATATGATACTGATAATACACATACGACGAATAATATCAATAATAGTATTAACAATCGTCATACACATATTTTTATTCTTGATAGTAATAATGCTACTGAGAAGAAAGAGTCCTAATACACATAAGGCTACTACTACGAATAAGAGTACTGATGTCGAGCAAAAGAACACTCATACTAACAGTGCTAATGATAATAATGCGCATAGTAATAAGACACATTGCACTACGGATCACACTACTTCAACTAATACTACTAAAAAGCTAATCAGAGGATGTGAGGAGGAGGAGGAGGAGGAGGAGGAGGAGGAGGAGGAGGAGGAGGAGGAGGAGGAGGAGGCCCCCCCCTCTTTGGGCCGCCTTGGGTGCCTCCTGGGCTGTCTCAGGGGCACCGCCTGCTCCCGGGGGGAGATGCCCAGCGGCCCCGCCGATGGGGGGGCCTCCAGGAGGAGAGCCGCCTGGTCGAGACTTTGGGCCGTTTTCGTCGGCTCTGGGGGGCCTTCGAGCAGCAGCCCCCGGGATGTCGGAGTCGCACCAAACGGCCGCCTGCGGACCGAGTCATGGCCCGAGAGCCGCCCTTTCTGGAGGGGCTGCCCTCTGGGAGGGGGAGCCCTCCTCGCTCCTCCTCCTCCTCCTCCTCCTCTCCTCCTCCTCCTCTCTCCTCCTCCTCCCTCCTCCTCCTCCTTCCTCCTCCCTCGCTCCTCCTCCTCCTCCCCTCGCTCCTCCTCCTTCTCCTCCTCCTCCTCCTCTCCCCTCCTCCTCCTCCTCCTCCTCCTCCTCCTGCTCTCCTCCTCCCCCCCTTCCCCCCTCCTCCTCCCGCCTCCTCCTCCTCCTCCTCCTCCTCGTCCTCCTCCTCCTCCTCCTCCTCCTTCTCCTCCTCCTCCTCCTCCTCCTCCTCCTCCTCCTCCCCCTTCCCCCCTTCTCCGCCTCCTTCCCCTTTCTCCCTCCCCCCTGCTTCTTTTCCTCCTTCCTTCCCCCCCCTCCCCGTAGAATAATCGAGCCAACTCTTTTGTTTGCTTATTCCAGGGGCTGGGGAGCGGGAGGGAGGGGGGGAGGGAGGGAGGACCGGAGGAGGGAGCACCACGAGACCGAGGACTGGAGGGCGGAGGACCAGAGGAGGAGGAGGAGGAGGACGATGGCGACGACGACGCACGGCGACGGCCGGCGCACGACGGACAGCGGACGACGACGGACGAACCGACGACCGACGACTCGACGACTGGCGGCACGCCGGACGACGACCGAAGAGCCACGACTAGCGAGCTGCGCCGACGACGGGCTCACGAATCGACGAGGCCGGCCCCGTAGCGGGTGGGGGCCCCGCCGGACCTGGGGCACCACAAGGACGCGGCCCAGATGTCCGCCCTGAGGCGCGGGGGCGCCCGCCCGGGGGCCTGCTGGGAGGGGTCTCCCCGGGCCGGCCTCTGGCCCTCTGGCCCTGCGCTCTCGGCCTCCGTCCTCCTCCTGCCCCCCCTCCGTCCTCCGTGTATTCTCCCTCGGCCTCGCCCCTCCTCCGTCCTCCTCCTGCCCCTCCTCCGCCTCTCCTCCTCCGTCCTCCTCCGCCTCTCCTCCTTCTCCTGCCCCTCCTCCGTCCTCCTCCTCCGTTCTCCTCCTGCCCCTCCTCCGTCCTCCGTTGGCCCACCCCAGAAGGGGGAAAGGGATGCCGACATCGCTGCCGAAGGGCTGGCGGCCAGCCTGGGTTCTCGTTCGGGGCTGTCTCGTTGACGGCCCCCGGGGCCAGAGGGCCGCGGCCTCCAGACGCCGAAGGCCTATGATGCTCCAACCTACTGCAACCATGACCACCAGAAATAGTTTCGAGCACAGTGCAAAGATTGGAGGGTTTTCACGTGTCGGGCCCTGGGAGGCGATACTCGTTCGACACCGTTTCGTTACCTTCATGGGTGCCCGAAATTATTTCTGGGATGTGGCTCTTAAGCACGATGGGAGCAACGTAAGCTCCGGGAGCGATCTGGGGAGCGGCGGTATCGGTACCATTCTGGCCCCCCATCACCCTGACCTTTCAGAGTGCAAAAAAATAGCTCGCCAGACCTCTAGACCTATCTGGGCTGCCTAAAACCTCGACAGGAATTCAGATATCGAGGTCCTGGTGCTATTTTTTAGCCCTCCTGGAAGGTCAGGGTACCCCTGCCTCACTCGCAGAGCGAACATCGGCATAAGCATCAAAGCCACGGGCCGGCGCGGACTTCTCGGGTATCGGCGGTCGGCGCTGGGCTCCCCTGAGGCGGCGCCTCCGCCAGTGCCGCCCCCGGCGCGCTCCGGCGCGGGTCCAAGAGCTCTCGGGGTTGGACAGACCTCCTACCCTGACATGTCGAGTAAGGAATTGGTCGTTTTTGGTTCGCGAGGGGGCGTCGCGGCCGTCTTTTTTGCGGGTCCAGGTCCGTCGGTTTCGGTCCCAGGCGCTTTTTACTAAGGGGAGGTTTGCTAAAGGGAAGTTTGTCCACCGCCGGAGCTCCGCGACGGAGCTCCGGAAGTGTGTGTGTTATGCGTTATTTGTTTCCTCTCTTTGCCCAGGGGTGACCAAAAAATGGCAGAGTTTGTGTGCCAGCGCATTTTCTTTTGCGGCGTTGGGCGCGCCCTGGCGCGGACGGCCGAACGACCCCTGCAGCGGGACACGCTGCCCACACGGTCGGCGCCGCAAAAACTGCGCGTTCAACGCGGGCGCCGCGCAAAGTAATTACGCACCCTCGCCCCATCCTCTGCTTCTCTCGCGGCGGGCGGGCGTTCGTTCGGGAGCGTGCCCAGGAGGCTTCACAGTTACCCTGGAGGGCTCCTTGCCCGAGGAGGGCGGCAGTGATAGCCATGGCCAAGCCTTGATCCGTGTTCCGCCGTCTTCCAGACCCTGCATCCCTTATACAGCGGTTCCTTATCCAATACCCTCGCCG